TACATGTGGAGCCTGTTTTAAAACCACTTAAAAGAATAGTACGAGTAAAACGTTATTTTAACGAGCCAAGATGGGATTTATTCATTTTCTCTTGAAAAAAAATTAGAAATTGATTTCTTCAATTCTCTTTTATACACATCTCTAATTTCAATGAGAAAAAGATTTATACAGTTGGAAAATTATCCAGAAGTTTGGGGTTTTTGTATAAAGTCGATAGTTTGCAAAAAAGAGAAGAAATTCTAAAATCATGTTTAGCCCTTCAAAGTAAACTTACCATAAATCTAAAATCGGATATTAATAGTATTCTCCTTTGCGATGAAATGATGAGCATTAATTTCTTTATGAAATGGTCAAGGATAAAATTACTCCTATTATTAATTTAAACTTTATAAAACAGCATAAAATGCAAGATTTGTATTCAAGCACATGAATTGCAATGCGAATTTTGCCAACAATACCTATTACTGTAGCGAGTGGAGAAAGAAGCTTTTCCAAAATGAAACTTATAAAACCTATCTGCGGTCAACAATGTTGCAGGATAGACTTTCAAGTTTAGGAATCCTATCGATTGAAAGCGATATTACTGAAAATCTTGATTTTTCTACGCTAATCAAAGATTTTGGTGATAAAAAGACTCGAAAAAATAGATATTTTAAATTAAATTTATTTTGTGTAAAACATAAACAAAAAACGTTTCTTTGTATGTAGCATTTAATTTTAAAGTATTATTTTTGAATTTGATTTGTTATTTTTCGTGTAATTAACCTGCAAATTTATAAGTTGTGAGGGGCGGCAGAAAAAATTTCGCACGATGGTGGCAAGAAGGCTAAGGCCGACACTGTGTATATTATATGATATACAAAGGAAATGCAAGGTGGCCACAGCTCCTCTAAAATCCTCTAAAGTCCTCTTTTCTCTTTTTTCGTGTGTGTGATGCTAAATCCGCGCAGTTTTTTATTGCTTTTGAAAGTTCAATTGAATTTTTGATCGCTTTATGAATAACTAGCTAGATTGTGTCATCATTGCAGCGCAACTCTGAGTTAATTTCATCACTTTCTTTAGCAGCTAAAACATTGTTGCTGCAATTGTCATCAACGCAGGCTCTATGCACTTATTCATATAAGTTCAAATTAGCAATAAAAAAATCCAGGTTTACTGCAATTGCTACCCCGGTGTGTTTACCAGTAAATGGTGTGCAAGCAATGAAAAAAACTCAATAAATTAAAATCTGAATTAATGTAGTGAATTGTAAGATTCATGAAGGAACCATTGTTTCGACTTGTCCAGAGATCTGTTGTAAAACTAACACCAGTCACATTTGGAAAATCTTTGACAAATTCTAGTTGCAACCCTTCCTTAACCTTGTCATACAACATTGGAAGTTTATGACGTCTAAATGTTGATGCAGATTTGACAGTGAACTTACAATTTACTTCATCAATAAATTCTTGAACTCTTTTATTATCCAAATTTCAAAAATTAGACCTAGATTGCAGACAAACTTTGTTAAATCTAAGTCAAACTTTAGTTGCTTTGGATCATTTAACTCATATTTTTGATTTTTTTAATATACTACTTTCAATTGTTGTTGTTTTGGCGTCTTTTGCTTTATCAAGCTTTCGTTTATTAGGTGTCTCGATAGTTTTTAAAAGATGCTCCTTCCAAGATGTTTCATGTTTGGTTTTAACATGGCTGGTTATCGTTGATGTACTGCCACATTTTATTTTGTAAAATTTAAAGCAAATTTTACATTTAGCTTCAAACTTATTCAGTTTTTCAAAGATTTCCAGATTTCACTTTTCGGTACCTTCAATTTGAATAAAGTATGAATCACTTGTATGACAACCGGACTAAAAAAAATTAAATTAAATTAAATACATTTTTGTTTTGGTCAGGTAGTAGATAGCTATAGCTATCTAAGATCTACCAAAGATCTGACAAACAATTGTAAACATTTTCATTAACAAAACTGTTTGTTCAAACTTGAATAAGCCTTTAATTAAATTCATTTGTGAGTTTTATTTTTTCTTTAATCTAATTTTAATCTTTTCTAATTTTATACTTCTTGTTATCAACTTATAAGTTGATTTTCTAATTTTATACTTCTTGTTATCAACTTATAAGTTGATAACAAGAAGTATAAAATTAGAAAAGATTAAAATTAGATTAAAGAAAAAGTAAAACTCACAAATGAATTTAATTAAAGGCTTATTCAAGTTTGAACAAACAGTTTTGTTAATGAAAATGTTTACGATTGTTTGTATAAATGTCAAACTATTATAAAAAACAAAATATATTTTAAACAGTAAAACATAATTGTTTTATCATTTATCTAAATTAGAAAGCAATGTTCTTATAAACAAAATATTATACAATATATTTTAATTTTTAAAAATTACAACAATTTCAATTTACACACATGTGAGTAAATTGAAAAAAGTTCAATTTACTCACATGTTATATCATAATTATATTTCTTTCTGGCCCGCAACTTTTGCAATTGTTATGCGGCACTATTCTGCACATTACACATCATTATTTTGCATATTGCACATTTGCCGACAATTTTGAAGTAATGTTTACAGTCTCATCTTTTTGACTTTTTTTCTTTCTGTGGTTTAATAATAGTAAACTTTAACAAATAAAATATATTTAAAAAATCTATAACTAAGTTTTATGATTTTTAAAATTTTGTATCGGTTTCTCAGGTTTTTTCGGTTTCGGTTCGGTTCGTTTTAATATTTAAAATATTTTGATCGGTTCGGTTTGATTAGGTTTTTTTAATTCGAAAGAACGGTTAACCGGAAGAATGCAGAAAGTTTGAAAAGTTGATACTACTGACAAACTCTATTCTGCCAAGGAAAATACCACGCCAATATATTAATTATCAAAAATGAATAGTTATGCCTTTAGCGATAATTATCTATTTTATATCATAATTTATTTGTATACTTAAAAGTTACCAGCGGGCACAGACGTCAATCAAACGTCTTACGGACGTCTTAACTAGGTCCCGACGTCTCAGACCAAATTAGGACGTCCTAAAGACGTCCGGTAAAGACGTCTTTGTAAGGACGACCTTGTGACGTTAATATAAAGACGATATTAGGACTTCCATATTTAGACGTCCTATTGACGTCGCTAAGACCTACATTAGACGTTACTTTATTACCTTCCCAGCAGGCATTTTGACGTCCTAAGGACATCCGTAAGACGTCTTAAGTCTCGTCCGTAAGACATCCTTAGTTGGTCTCAAATGAAAGGCTTGAGGACGTCTATTCCAGACGTCCTAAAGACGTTTTTTCAAGACGTCCTAGAGACGTTTTTTGCAGACGTTCTAGAGACGTCTCTGGCTGGTCTCATATGAAAGACTTAAGGACGTCTATTTCAGACGTCCTAGAGACGTTTGAATTTTACCGAGACATTCTTTTAAAAGTTATATAAAAATGCAATGATTTACAACACACACTTTAGATTTGCCTTAATCTAGGCAAGGGAAGTTATAAAAAGAAATCAATGTAAATAAAGTGTAATTTGATATATTTAAAATAAATTAATAAATTTACAAAAAATAAGAATAATTTTTCAAACAAAGTTACATTTTTCAAATTAAAAACTAATAGGTACTGTAGAATATAATCGATAGTGCATTATAAATAGAAGAAAATTGCTTAAAAATGGAAAAAAAAATAAAAAATACAACAGTTAATTAAGTTAACATTGATCGAAATCCATATTAGTCGATGTTTTCTTTATTCGGTCAGAAGAATGCCTAATTACTCTCCCAATAAGTTGGATAGCATCCATTTTGGTTAAGTTATTATTTGACTTTAAAGCAGCTTCTAATAAAACAACAAAACATGTTTCAATAAGATCATAAAATAAAATATATATGTCATACATACACTTGAATACATGTCATGTTCCAGAGCCAAAAAAATTAATTGTTTTTTTCTTTTTAATTAAAACATCATTTTTAATTTTTAATTAATCAAACACTAAGTAATAATAAGTTAATAAGCTAGTAAGAATACCAGTGACAGAGTTACATAGACTTGTCAACTCTTTAAATTTTTTTTCTTCTTTTGACAAAATAGTGACTGTTGGCAGTCTACATATATAAAAAAGAAGATAAATGCTCTACTGTCAATCATAAATGTTAAAATTCAAACTTTTGCTAATTACTTACAAGAGCAAAATATTTTTAATTGTATCAGCTAGATTTTTATCGCCAATTAATGATAACTGTTTTATCTAAAAAGAAACAATGTATAAGAAACATTGAAAATGTTTATGACAATTTAAAATAAATACTGTAATAATATATAACATACAAACTTTAAAGATGAAACTCATATATACAAAAGTGATGTATTGGATATCTCCATTTGCGAATTTTTTTTTTCAAAACATTAAGTTTATCTAAACTTTTACGTTGTTTAAAACCTTCTTCTGGATTATTAGAGAACAGTGCAGTTCTATCGACTAAATTTTTTTTTTATTTTAGCAAGTTGGAATATAAATTTTTTCTGAAACTTTGAAAAATAAAATATATAAGTAAAGCCATATAAATAGTATATAAAGTAGTAAATAGTACTTCCTATATATGGTTGAGAAGGTTTAGATTTAAAATAAATAATGCAAAAAATTTCAAGTTTCATGCTTAACCTTAAAAGAATATATAAACAAGTAAAGTTCAAAAAAATTATAGGGTTTTTGTCTAACGCAAAAAACTGCAAAGAATCGCTACCTATATCCAAACGTGCGCGCACACACACACACACACACACACACACACACACACACACACACACACACTCATATATATATATATATATATATATATATATATATATATATATATATTTAGATATGTATATATTTATATATATATATATATATATATATATATATATATATATATATATGTGTGTGTGTGATAAACTATAACTTATTTTGGAAAATCATGGAGGTATAAAATGTTAATCTTTTATTAATTATTAGGTAACTGTTGAAGTATATCTTTGCTGAACAGTAAGATTTTTACCTGGGTACGGTTTCATTAACCATGGTTTAAGTGCAAATATGTCATCTCCAACAAAGACCGGTGGAACTTTAGGATCAAATTCAGAAATTTTTGGTAAATTAAAATAACCCTTATTAAATGCCCTCCCAAACGTGCTTGCATTTAAAATGGCAGCATCATTATCCCTTCCATAAGCCCCAATGTCAACCATTGTGAAACAATATTTAGCATCACAAATTGCTAATAAAACCATGCTGTAAAACCCTTTGTAGTTATAAAAAGAAGGTCCAGATTTTGCAGGTGCTTTAATGCGTACATGCTTTCCATCAATAGCTCCTATACATTGTAAAAAGTTCCAATTTTGATCAAACTCTTTAATAATATTTTGCCATTCTTTTACGTCATTTGGGGCTCGTAGAAAGACTTTTTTGAGAACTTTCCATATTGCACAACAAGTTTCTTCGATTATATGGCAAACTGTAGCTCTGCAAACTCGAAAATAAAATGACTGAGTTTGTTGTGATTTGTAATAGAATATCAACGCACCTTAGAATATGACCGCACCAGTAAAAATAATAAAAACGAGGATTGTAATAAAATATCACATCCGCCTAAAATATTACATACCCCATAGAAAAAATGAAAACGAGACGCGCTTTCGAGTCATTGCACTTAGAAGTGTATCAAATACGTCCGAAACATTCAATTATAAACAATATAATTAAAACGAGATTCATAAAAACGTGATATTTTAAGCAAGAATTCTAGTTTCTTTTTGTGACATATACAGAAATAACAAGTGGTGGATGTTATATTCTATATACCAAATACTAATTGTTTAAAATACTTTATAAACTACTTAGGGGGATGTAATATTTTAGAAGTAGACATCGGGGGGATGTTATATTTTAAGTAAGAATTTCAGTTTCTTTTTGTGGTGCATACAGAATTTACAAGTGATAAATCTTATATTTTAAACACTAAATACTAACCATTTGAAATGTTGTATGAATTACTTAGGGGGATGTAATATTTTAGAGATAAACATAGGGGGGGATGTGATATTTTAAGTAAAGATTTAAAGTTTCTTTTTGTGACATATACAGTGAATAAACCGAGGAGATGTGATATTCTAGATAACAATTACTAATTGTTTGAAATATTGTATGAATTACTTAGGGGGATGTAATAATTTAAAGGTAAACATAACGGGGATGTGATACTTTAAATAGCAAATATTAATTGTTTGAAATATTGTATGAATTACTTAGGGGATGTAATATTTTAAAGGTAAACATAGAAGGGATGTGATGTTTTAAATAAGAATTTCAATTTCTTTTTGTGACATATGCAGAGATTCCACAGGGGAGATGTAATATTTTAAATACCAAATATGAATTGCTTGAAATATTGTAGAAAAATAATTAGGGGGATCTAATATTTTAGAAGTATACATAGGGGAGATGTGATATTTTAAGTAAGAATTTTAGTTTCTTTTTGTGGTACAAACATAATTTACAAGTGTTGAATGTGATATTCAAGATAGCAATTACTACTTATTTGAAAAATTTTTATGAATTACTTAGGGGGATGTAATATTTTAAAGATAAACATAGAGGGCATGTGATATTACAGAACTTTTAAATGAAATATTTTATTATTGTAAAGAAGTACTTTTTTTTAAATGAAATATTGTAATATTGTAAAGAAGTACTTTGGGAGATGTAATATTTTAGAAGTAGACATAGTTGGGATGTGATATTTTAAGAAAGAATTTCAGTTTCTTTATGTTATTTATACAGAAATTACAAGTGATGGATGTTATAGTCTAGTTACCAAATACTTATTGTTTGAATTATTTTATGAATTACTTAGTGGGATGTAATATTTTAGACGCCTGAATAGGGTGGATGTGTAATTTAAGTAAGAATTTCAGTTTTATTTTGTGACATTTATAGAGAATAAATAGGGGGAATGTGATATTCTAGGTACTAAATACTAATCATTGATTAGTATTTGATACCTAATGAAATATTGTAAAGAATTACTTAGGGGGATGTAATATTTTAAAAGTATACAAAGGGGGGATGTGATATTTTATGTAAAATTTTTAGTTTCTTTATGTGATACACACAGAATTTTTTAGTGAGGAATCTGATATTTAAAACACAAAATACTAATCGTTTAAAATATTGTAAAGAATTTCTTAGTGGGATAATAATAATATTTTAGACGCCTGCATAGGGTTGATGTGTAATTTAAGTAAGATATGTATCTCAAATATTGTTAGCTATTTTTTGTTTCTTGGGTCCTCCTCTGATGGGGAGATCTTTATAATAAATTTATATATTTAATTAAAAAATTAAAAAAAAATTAAAGAGCTTTTAATAAAATCAAGAAACTTTAATATTTAAAGTGTTTTTTAGCTTTTTAAAGTTTTAATTTAACATTTTATTTTTTTTTAGATACGATTGAGCTAACAATTTAAACATGCGACATTGTTTAACGAAGTCATATATAAAACTTTGGTGGAATTAAAGTTTTCATAAGATTTAAAATGAACGAAATTAATTACAATAATTTTTTACTTTAAATGTATTCATATGTTACAACATAAATATTTTAATGTACAAAACGTTTTGAAGGAAAATAAATAATTACGGTTTGTCTTTTTTCATTCTATTGCATAATTTAAAATTTTTCTCCATTACGTCCACCTATAATGGCTAAAGCCCGTTCCCCATTCAGAACTATTTGCGCCCTGGAGGAACGGAAGAGTTCTTTGAGCATGCGCAAAAAATTCTGATTGGAGAACGGGTTTAAAAAAACTGTTTGCGCATACTCAAAGAACTTTTCCGCTTCTCCAAAGCGCAAAAAGTTCTGAATGGAGAACGGCCTTAAGGCGTAATGTTTTGGGAAAGTTATAACTTCTTTAGATACTTTTTTTTGAATAATAGAAACTTCTTTTCTTAATAAAGGAACATTTTAAAGAACTATTTTTAAATATTAACGTTTCTTTGGGTGGCTTGGTATGGAAATATAATGTGATTATTGAGCCTGTTGAGGCGAGTTAATAATATTTAGTCCAGTTCACAATTATTAAAATTATACAAATTTTTAAAACTGGCACTTAAAAAATTAACTTATATTTATTACAATAAATTATAAAATCATGTATTTCATGTATTAGAATCATCCAATATCATACTGAACTGAAATGATAAAGAATAATGTACTGTAAAAGGCAAAGTACATAAACGGTTTGTTGTATATATATATATATATATATATATATATATATATATATATATATATATATATATATATATATATATATATATATATATATATTTTAAGTTGATTAACGTGCCCCAAGAAGTCCTTACGGTCTTATCACAGAGCACCGCGGAAGAGCATTTAATGGGAAGTTCACGCCTCTTTCCCAACCGATGTCGCAAAACTTGCCCAGAGGTGGGGTTTGAACCACGGATCTTACGTTTCTGAGGCAAGTGCACTACCACTGCGCCACGGCTGCTTATATATATATATATATATATATATATATATATATATATATATATATATATATATATATATATATATATATATATATATATATATATATATATATATATATATATATATATATATATATATATATATATATATATATATATATATATATATATATATATATATATATATATATATATATATATATATATATATATATATATATATTCTCTATCTAATGTTAACACAACATTTTTGTAAAAATAAAAATTTTGAAAAAAAATACTATTGAGCAAGTATTATTCTTCCACACTAAGAATATTCTGCTTTTGTTAGGTTTTCCTATTTTCTTAATGACACAAATGCTAAAGTGCAGGATTGATCGAAGAAGATTTCACTAAGAAATAATAATCATCCTTATAATGACAGATTTATAGCGTTGAATTCAACAAGTTTGAAAAAAAGACGAAAGCGTAGTGGCTTAATTTAAGTGATTGAATTAGGTAACAAAACTGACTATGTTAATTGTTATAATAAAGATTGATTAAATTTTTATTCAACGAGTCCGGTGCCAACGCGTAGCTATAATGAACATAACAAAAAATCTGCACAAAATTGTCCTTATTTATAATTTTTTTTTTTTTTAATTTATTATTTAGGTACCCTATGAAGTCCTAACGGTCTTGTCACAGAGCACCGCTGAAGTGTATTTAACCAGGAAGTTCACGCCTCCTTTCTTACCATGACGCGAAATATGTCCAAAGCTCGTTTTGAACCTGGATCTCCTGCTTATAAAGCATATGATCTAACCACTACGCCACGACCGCACAATATTTGGCATAACTTTTTTGTGAATCAAGAAGCTCGTTTTGATCAGTTTAGAAAATTAAAAGGTTTAAAGAAAGATAAGCGCTAGAAAAAGAATGAGCTAAAACAAAGTGAAGTTACATTATATTTTTAAATATATTAGTTGAGGTTGAGAGTTTATGTTCACTTATTTTAGTTTAAAAGACATCTTTGTCAGACACTTGTCTCAGAAAGCCATAGCTATTCAAAGGCGTCTAAATTTTAAACGTCTTTAAAAAACGTTTTTTAAACGTCTTTAAAAAACGCTGAGAAGAGTAATGTTTTTTTTTTTAAATATTGTTACTCTGTAGAAGTTACTGGTATACCTGTTACTTCAATGAAGTTTTCATTCTATTTATAAAATATTTTATTTTTTCTTCAAACCTAATATTTGTTTAACTTTCTACAGGTAATAATATACTAATATGAAAACAATTTTTATTGTTTTTTGATTTATACTCGGGTAAAATATTCGTTTTCTTATTTTAATTTATTGTTAAAACATATATTTTTTCATTATTTTATTTTATGGTTATTTTCAAGAGAAGGCAAAAACCCTGTAAAGTCATTATGGGTATACATTCAGATTTAGGTGGCTGCAAGGTACACTATTATTCGTTACAAGACACTTTAAACGAATGTCTCAGTGACGAAGTATATATATATATGTATACATATATATATATATATACATATATACATACATATATATATATATATATATATATATATATATATATATATATATATATATATATATATATATATATATATATATATATATATATATACATATATACATATCTTCATAGAAAGAGCTCTTTAAACAAGATATGCTAATATGCTGTATGGTGGAAAAATGCAGTGTGTAAAATAGTATAATTGTTTTTTGAAAAAGTTTATTTCTCTAAGTACAAAAAGTTTAACTTTCAGTGAAAGGTTAGGTTCCCCATTTTTTTACAGGAAACCTAACTTTGAACCTGATTTTGAAACTCACTTGTGTTTTAGATAATCAAACCAGGTAATAAAACAATTCACTCTATGGATCCTATGGGAGAACAGATAAATTCTATCAAAAAAGAAGAAGTGAAATGGAAGTATGATATTATTATTAGATATTCCTATTTCAAAATTTGTATTTACATCTTTTATAATTTTTTTACTATTATACAGTAGTTGTTACTTACAACAAAGATATGGTGTTTCAGAAAAGTTTGAAATATTAACATTACCACATGCCATACAAGCTGAAAGTATAACATTTGGAGTATTCTGCCTTAAAATAACTTTAAGAGTCTTAACTGTAATGGATATATTATATATCCATTACAGTTAAGACTTAGTTATATATATATTATATATATATATATATATATATATATATATATATATATATATATATATATATATATATATATATATATATATATATATACATATATATAAGCTTACATATTTTAGTTTGCTGAAAGTTATACAAATGGAGAAGTATTGGTGCGTTTCTTTCCACATGTAGAAGTTAATGCATATAGAAAGAGAGATTTGAAGAAGGAGGTTTGTGAGATTCTTTAGAGAACTGAAAATGTTTATACTACTTCAATGTTAAACGATATCTCAAAAAAAGACAAAAAAAAAAATGATGAAAAATTAAATCAATAAGTCAGAAAAGTTGTGGAAGCGAAATTGGTCAAAAAACTAGAAAAAATCAAAAAAAAGTTAAATGGGTAATAAAATATATTTTAATTGTTTTTTTGGGTATATAATGGGTAATAAAATATAATTATTTCAAATAGAATAAAATACTTTAAATATTCAAATACAAAAATGTACATTAAATATTTATTTTTAGATCAAATGTGATATTTGCATCCAAATCGATGGTACCGTATAAGATGCATTGTTTTTAAAAATGAAACTTTATTTTGTTGTGAACATATTTATATATAAATGTAATAATAAATAAAACTTTAAAAATTGCAGTCATTTCTTTTTCTTCAAAATTTTGTCATAAATTGAACCAATTTAAATGTTTATGCCCTTACAGATAAAAACACAAAAAGGAGAAATTTTTTTTCTCCCTATTTTTAGTGACTTCTTGTATTCTTATAATACTTTAAATTGTCGGAAGCCTTTATAATTCTGCCAATTCACATGTCGCCATACATATTATTTTGTGTAAATCATTGGCATACATATTCGGCATATTTTACATATTTCGGCATATTTTACATTCGGCATAGATTACATGTCGGCATACATATTATTTTGTGTAAATCAACTAAGTTAATTCATATGTTGGCATACATATGAATTGATTGAACAATAATACATTTTTAACTTGTTAGCTCAATTAAATCTGAAAAAAAATATTAAAAAAGACTGTTTGAGTAATCTCTGCACATTTTGCAAATAACAGCTAAAATTCTAAATTAAAATATCAAATCTCCCTATGCAGGCTTCTAAAATATTCCCCAATATCACATCCCCCCTATGTATATCTTTAAAATACTACATTCCCTAAGTAATTCATAAACTTTTTCAAATGAGTAGTAAATGCTATCTTGAATATCACATTCGCCACTTGCAAATTATGTTTGTACCACAAAAAGAAACTAAAACTCTTACTTAAAATATCACATCCCCCCTATGTATACTTCTAAAATATTAGATCCCCCTAAGTACTTTTCTACAATATTTCAAGCAATTCATATTTGGTATTTAAAATATCACATCTACCCTGTGGAATCTCAGCATATGTCACAAAAAGAAACTGAACTTCTTACTTAAAATATCACATCCCCCCTACGTATACTTCTAAAATATTATATCCCATAAAGTAATTCATACAATATTTCAAACGATTGCTATTTGGTACCAAGAATATCACATCCATCACTTGTAAGTTCTGTATGTACCACAAAAAGAAACTGAAGTTCTTAGTTAAAATATCACCCCCTCCCCCCCTATGTATACTTTTAAAATATTACATTCCCCTAAGTAATTCATACAATATTTCAATTGATTAGTATTTGGTAGCTAGAATATCCCATCCCCCTGTAGATTCTATGTATATTTCACAAAAAGAAACTGAACTTCTTACTTAAAATATCACATCCCCCCTACGTATACTTCTAAAATATTATATCCCATAAAGTAATTCATACAATATTTCAAACGATTGCTATTTGGTACCAAGAATATCACATCCATCACTTGTAAGTTCTGTATGTACCACAAAAAGAAACTGAAGTTCTTACTTAAAATATCACCCCCCCCTCCCTATGTATACTTTTAAAATATTACATTCCCCTAAGTAATTCATACAATCTTTCAATTGATTAGTATTTGGTACCTAGAATATCACATCCCCCTGTAGATTCTATGTATATGTCACAAAAAGAAACTGAACTTCTTACTTAAAATATCACATCCCCCTAAATAATTCATACAATATTTCAAACGATTGGTATTTGGTACCTAGAATATCACATCCATCACTTGTAAGTTCTGTATGTACCACAAAAAGAAACTTAAATTCTTACTTAAAATGTCATATCCCCTCTATGTTTACCTTTAAAGTAATACATCCCATAAGTAATTCATACAATATTTCAAACGATTAGAATTTAGTATCTAGAATATCACATCCCCTCGGTTTATTTGCTATATGTCACAAAAAGAAACTGAAATTCTTACTAAAAGTATTACATCTCTTCTAAGTTTACCTTTAAAATATTACATCCCCTAAAGTATTTCATACAATATTTCAAACAATTAATATTTGCTATTTAAAATATGACATCCCCGCTATGTTTACCTTTAAATTATTACTTCCCCCTAAGTAATTCATACAATATTTCAAACAATTAGTAATTGGTATCTAGAATATCACATCTCCTCGGTTTATTCACTGTATATGTCACAAAAAGAAACTTTAAATCTTTACTTAAAATATCACATCCCCCCTATGTTTATCTCTAAAATATTACATCCCCCTAAGTAATTCATACAACATTTCAAATGGTTAGTATTTAGTGTTTAAAATATAAGATTTATCACTTGTAAATTCTGTATGCATCACAAATAGAAACTGAAATTCTTATTTAAAATATCACATCCCCTCTATGTTTACCTTTAAAATATTACATCCCCCTAAGTAATTCATACAATATTTCAAACGATTAGTATTTGGTATCTAGAATATCACATCCCCTCGGTTTATTCATTGTATATGTCACAAAAAGAAACTGAAATTCTTATTTAAAATATAACATCCCCCCGATGTCTACTTCTAAAATATTACATCCCCCTAAGTAGTTTATAAAGTATTTTAAACAATTAGTATTTGGTATATAGAATATAACACCCACCACTTGTTATTTCTGTATATGTCGCAAAAAGAAACTAGAATTCTTGCTTAAAATATCACATCCCCCCTATGCAGGCTTCTAATAGGTACGTGAGTAAAAATTTCAAATTGTTTGAATACTATATTGTTATATATCATTAGAAAGAGGATTATTACAGTATTTTAAAGGTGAAAAAATTTTCAAAATCGAACAATTGGTTCAAAAGTTATGAGGGTTTAAGTACCGATTTTTCTATATATGGATTTGTTGAAGAAACTGTGGTCAAAATAATGATTTTCTTCACTTAAATTGTCTTAACTTTGTCAATTCTTATCAAAAAACAAATATCTTGGCATCAAAAGATAGGTGTAAGAGTGGGCTACAACTTTATGTTAAATTCTAACCGCCGGGTGTATCGGATGGACAGAGGGGGTACCAAACCACCATCTTACCTGTGTGAAACTAAACACTTTTTTAGAAAAAAAGTTTTTTTTTAAGACATAAGCAATATAAATATACAAAAAAATTGTTTTAAATTTATACTAAACTAAAATATATGAGAGGTGTATGTTAGCAATAATAGTGTGTGTGGTGGTGATGGTTTGATACACCCTTGTATCAAAAACGACTTGATTTCATAAACATTTATCTTTACTAAAATGAGTAAAACTAGTATACAATATAAAATTATGCTATACAAGATCTTACGTAAACAAGTGGTGTTTCTATTATGGGAGGGGCGTATGACCCCCCCCCCCCAACCTAAAAAAAAAAGAAGAAAAAACATGCAATTACTGTTTTCAAAATTTGAATAATAAAAAAAAAATTATGAAACTGGAAACAATTTAAAAAATAAATTCATACCAGACAACCACCAAATATGAGAGATGAATGTAAAACTCATAATAGATATGTTGATGATGTTTTAGTACTTATAATATCAAAAACATTTTTAATTCTTGAAATATCTGAATGAATATTTAAAGTACAACAACAAAGAAGTAAAAAACATTTTCCACTAGATTAAAATATACATTAGTGGTGCATCCATGGTCATAAGAGAGTGGAGTATAAGGAAGGGCCTATCCAAATATATCATAAGGGAAGGGGCATTAGAATGCCTCTAACCAAACCGATGGGATATATATTACTTAAAAAATTATACAACTACTATTGTGGGGCTATAATTATAAGTCAATTGGCTGTAAAAAACATGTCATCTTTATAACCAAGTATAGCAACTACCTATATTAAAGTCTTTCATGTGATTATTACATTAAAAGAACTAAGGACCATACAGTATGGTTAACGAGCTAGCCATTCTGTTTGGTTAACAAACAAATTTCTGTTTCAAAATAAATAATAAATAAAATGTTAACATTAAAAAAAAAAATTTTAATTATTTTAAAAATAATTTAATATATTTTTGTCTTGGTTTTTATGAATGATTAATATGATTAATTCCAGTAATAAAACTATATTTTAATTATTTTTAACAACAGCCAGCACACGAAGGTAAGTCAGAGTCGTCTATCAAAAAATTTAACAAATTACAACACTTGCTATATAATTTAGGCAAGTCACAACACTAGCTGTATTATTTATGCAAGTCACAACACTTGCTATATATTTTAGGCAAGTCACAACACAAGCTGTATTATTTATGCAAATCACAACACTTGCTATATAATTTAGGCAAGTCACAACACTTGTGTTTTTAAATTCATTAAATTGTAACTCACCAGAAACAACATCAGCAGCATGCTGGGTCTTTTTCATGCAATAGTCAGCAGCTTCAATATCAGTTTCATCATCTTTCCAGTAAGAAATGGTGTAAATGAAGTCATTTTTTCTTTTATTAACTTTGCCACTTGATTTTTTGTCTTTGGCAAATCTCATCTCTTACTTTGCATCGATTCAGTCAATATGTAAATTTGTTTTTACGTGCTACATTAATTGACCATTTAACAATCTTTTCTCTTAAACTTAAATCTGGAGTGTCTAGATAGTCAACAGTCCTATTCTTTTTTGATCTTAGTTTGCAAGTAATATAGCAAATTGTTGCATTAGGAAACCATACTTTTGCATCACTAAACATACCCATTAATTCCTCACTATCTATGTTGTGAAGCTATACACTAGCTGTTTCCTCTTTAAATGTCTCCATCACAGTAAGAGAAGCTAGTAGTAAATGACTAAATTATTAAATCATATAATATTAAAATACTAAATTATTAAATCATATAATAAGAGTTTAACTGACTGATCCTCTCTAAAACAACTTCATCTAAACAGAAATTAAATGAACTTAATTTTTACAAATATATATATATATATATATATATATATATATATATATATATATATATATATATATATTATGTGTATATATATATATATATATATGTAAATTTTGTTATATATATATATGTATTTGTAAATATATATATTATGTATATATATATATATATATATTATATATATATATATATATATATATATATATATATATATATATATATATATATATATATATATATATATATATATATATATATATATATATATATATATATATATATATATATATATATATATATATATATATATATATATATATATATATATATATATATATATATATATATATATATATATATATATATATATATATATATACTATATAATAACTACTAAGCTATTAAATACAGAAAGTAACTAACTGATGTTGTCGGCTACAACTTCACTATAACTTTGAGCATCTAAAACAGCAAAAGAAATAATAGTCTTACATGAAAACATATCCAGAGCACCACGATCTTTACTGTCGGCTTTACCTTGACGTTTCAGTTTTTCTATTCTTTTGATTAATATCTCTTGACACATGGAGAGATGAGAAGCTAAAAGTGGGTCATATTTGGCCAAGAGCTGTACCAAAGCCAAATTTCCACGATTTTCTTCATCATGAGGTGCTTTAAGCTGACTAAGACAAAAAGTTTTATTTATGTGTTAAATAAACATTTATGCTTATAAACGTAAATTTTTTCAAAATTTATAACCCAACGTTCAAAACATATAAGTTTATTTGATTTCAAGAATGTTGCTTCTTGGCCACTTTCTACTTTCTTCTGGGTCTTTTAGTAATCTGTAAACAGCACACTTTTTTATCTGTTAAATAATTAGTAGAGCGATTCGCAACACTTTTCACTTTAAAGGCATAATAAGCCTCAAGAAATATTTTTTCTTCTAATTTTAAGCAACGATAATAACCGGTAAATATTTCTTAGTTAATTGGCTTCCAGTTATTTTTACGGTTTGCACGATTAATAGGCCTGTGTTTTAGATAGCCGTGAATCTATTCATTAAACTTGGTTTCTCTAATCTTGTAATCTATTCATTAAACTTGTATCGATAAATGCGCCTAGCAAATAGATTAAGGGGATCTTGTAAGCAAGCAATCACACAATTTTAAATTTTCTACACATAATTTTATTAAAGATGTATTTTATTTAGACAGCCTAACTTTTTTACTCCCGTTTTTAAACCTTTATGTACTACATTCAAATCATTTTGAACATATTTAAAATCTAAAAATATATTAAGCAAATAATTAAAATAATATCATCTTAAGTTTAACAAAAAGTATTATCAACATTACAAGTACAATATATCAACAAAAAACATTAAACTGATCTGCAACGTTACCAGTTAATAAAGTGTTTTTACCTTGATTATGTTTAATTCAATTTCTTTTCTTTAACTATTGGCTAATGATCAATATAATAAATTTCAAATCATTAAAATTTACCAAATTGAAACCATATTTCAACAGTAGGTAGTTCAATGAAATTTAAACAAAAGGTAGAACTAAAGAAATAAAATTTTAATTGAATATAAAAACCATAAGCATATTTTAAACATAATTAAAACCTAAATAAATAGAAAATAAAAAAAGCATCATACTCGCTTGTTCATAATCTATAATGGTAAAAATAAAAGATAAATAAAATATTAATAAATAAAAACTCTAACTTGTTGGCACTCTTGCTAAAAAACTAAAACTTTTAACTCTAACTTGTTGGCACTCTTACTAAAAAAACCAAAACTTTTAACTCTAACTTGTTGGCACTCTTACTAAAAAAACTAAAACTTTTAACTCTAACTTGTTGGCACTCTTACTAAAAAAACTAAAACTTTCAACTCTAACTTGTTGGCACTCTTACTAAAAAAACTAAAACTTTCAACTCTAACTTGTTGGCACTCTTACTAAAAAAACTAAAACTTTCAAGTCTAACTTGTTGGCACTCTCACTAAAAAAACTAAAACTTTCAACTCTAACTTATTGGCACTCTTACTAAAAAAACTAAAACTTTCAACTCTAACTTGTTGGCACTTATACTAAAAAAACTAAAACTTTCAACTCTAACTTGTTGGCACTCTTACTAAAAAAACTAAAACTTTCAAGTCTAACTTGTTGGCACTCTTACTAAAAAAACTAAAACTTTCAAGTCTAACTTGTTGGCACTCTCACTAAAAAAACTAAAACTTTCAACTCTAACTTATTGGCACTCTTACTAAAAAAACTAAAACTTTTAACTCTAACTTGTTGGCACTCTTACTAAAAAAACTAAAACTTTCAACTCTAACTTGTTGGCACTCTTACTAAAAAAACTAAAACTTTTAACTCTAACTTGTTGGCACTCTTACTAAAAAAACTAAAACTTTCAACTCTAACTTGTTGGCACTCTTACTAAAAAAACTAAAACTTTTAAGTCTAACTTGTTGGCACTCTCACTAAAAAACTAAAATTTTTAACTCTAACTTGTTGGCACTCTTATTAAAAACTAAAACCTTTAACTCAGATATTTTAATTCAAACCTATCTATATTTTAATTAAAACAATCATACTTACAGTTCTTTACAAGATTTTTTAAATTATTTTAGAAAAAACGGGTCTCCATATAAAGTAAGTTGCTAAACCAAGGTAAGGTATAAACTGATAATTGATCAAGAATGCTGTGCAATATCTGACTGACTATCTAACATAAAACACATACATAACAAAGAATAAATTTTTTTGGTAAGATTAAGTATATATATCTCCTATATGTCTCCTCCCCTTGAAATTTACCGTCAGCAAATTAAAAAGCAGACGATCACTATTTTTTTGACGTGCGCGATTTCTAAATTTTCAATTTAATGTTAACATATAAAAACATCCAAAAAACAATCTTATACGCTTAGATTAAATGACATTGCATTAGTAAGTTCTTAAGATTAAATGACATTTATTGTGCTAATAATTTTAATTAAAGTACTTAGTTTTTCATAAATATAAGAATATTTTCAGAGATTTTTAATGATTATTTTGAAATTATGTAAATAAATAAAAGTATTATCACTACAAAAAAGAATTCTTGCATTTTTAAAAACACGTCTAAAAATTATTGGCTAGCGCTAAAAAAAGCACTGACCGCAATATTGGCTGGCATGTTGACAAACGCAAAATTAAAAGAGCGCGAAAGTGCTTGCCAAATGGAGGCGAATGATATATATATATATATATATATATATATATATATATATATATATATATATATATATATATATATATATATATATATATATATATATATAAAGTTATTTACAACTGCAACACCATAAAAGATTATTGCTTATAACTGTTTTTGGCGCTTCAACACACTCTATATGGAACCATTCTTTGCATAACCCACATTGTATCATTGGTTTTTCATTGCTTGGCATTCTGCAATTGCAATATATGTCTAAAAATTCGACCTTTGAAATATGTTGGGAAATTCTCCGCGGCTTAGATGGAAATTGTGTCAACTCTAATTTTTCAAATTACTTTAACAAATGTTTTCTCATATCTTCCTGAGTGTACTTTACAATAGATGGATCTCCTCCAAAGCAAAGTTCACAAGCGTTTGCAAGTGCAAAAAGTCCACAGTCATCTGAGCCCAACTGATACTGAACATTTACATATTCAATTTTAATTTTTTTAGTGGTAGAGCACAAAAGATCAGCAACTGTGTTCTTTAGCAACAATGTCAACTTATTATGCAAGCTGTCATAAACCCTGACAGTCCCCTGTGTACAGCTTAATGTAGCTATAGTGATCCAATGCATACCATTGTAATTCAGACACTGAATAAATTCTTTATTCTTTTGAACCTCAAAACTATTTGTTAATTGTAAAACAGGATCTAGAAACCCTGATAAATGAGGAAAAGCATCTTTAAGCATTTGCATTCCGGAATAAATAATTGTGTCATTAAGCCAATCACCATTAATCAAAATATTTTTATCATCTACTGAAAGTGCTACTTTTCTAATATGTGTAAAATCACAACCACCAATAGAAACGGTCTCTTCTTCTGTGCATACTTCTTCTTTAAGACAAATAAGTTCTGCTTGAAAAGCTTCCTGTCTATTTAAACATATTCTATTTGGATGACAATGACTCTTGCGTACCACACCAGACTGTTTGCAAGGGCATCGCCTTGTAGCACACCTATTTTGGCATGAACAAACCAAATTCATTGGATGGATTTCATTTTCTATTTTAACTTCTGAATCATCAATAGTGAAACTATTTATATTTTCTTTTAAGCACTCATTAGCATAGTTTAGTGCATCTACTGAAGGTGAGCCATTACCAGGGGTACTAGATTTTGGAGGAGTTTTATTTAAACCCTCATAGTTATCATTATTTGGTTCATTTTCTGATATCGAGTCTGATGATTCAAAGACTGAGGGATTCGGAGAAGTCACTTCATCATCAAAACATTGATTAACAAGAACTTCTTCATCAGAAGAACATGTTTTGGAATTTTGAAATTTGGAATTTTGAAAGGTAGGATCTGAAGGTTTATAGATTTTAAGATGACCACCAGTAGCACGAATTGTAACGCCTTTATTATCTTGAAGTTTGTATACTCCATGAGGAAGGCAACTAAGTATTTTATATGGGCCTACAAATCTATCATTTAACTTACCTCCTTTGGTTTTTTTACGTCTATGATTTAATTTTAGAACCAATGAATTGACTTTAAAGACCCCAGATTTTGAGTGCTTTTTATCATAATTTTTTTTTTTGCTTAACTTGAGCTTTTAAAATATTATAAAATATGTTCAGCTTCTTCTAAAACTAACTTGTATTCTCTT